GTTTTATACATTTTTTCTCTAAATTCTTTTGTTTTTCTTATATGATTCTTTCATTTCTTTCTCAATTACTTATAAACAGATACAAAATATTGCACCGATAAAGAATTATCTAAAACGAAATGCATAGTTATAGCTCTACTTTGCCACATATGCTCTCTGATACTAAAGAAAAAGATTGTCATGGTTAAAAATATGATGAACAATTTTATCGCAGTTCTTTGATAAAAATTCTTTTTCTTCGGTCACACAAATAAGCAGAGTTATAGGCAATACGTACATCTTACCACTCATATCCGCACACGTCCATACATACAACGTATATCTGTACATTTGTTATTCTGTAAACTTAATTTTCTAAAATTTACAATAGTATCAATTTTTATCTTGCATAGCAAGTATACCTATTTAAAGCATCACATGTCATAAAGTCCAACACATTAATCAACAACAATTAACCACTATTGCAAAGTTTAGACTTTCTGCAATGTGCGCTTGTTTTTTCTTTATAGGTAAACTCTTTTTATATGCATTAGATACATATCTACTAAAGTGATTTGCCCTTGAGTTTTTGTCAATATTGTATTCCTTATATTAATTTTACAATTCATTCATCAAAAATAAACAGAATTTTAGCTGTTGCCGCGATGTATAAAGCCAAATAATCATTAATCTATTGTCAATGACCAATTTCTGCAAAATTGTTTTCAAATATAATTGACATTCATGCTGTCAAGGGAGTTCAACATGAAAGTATTACTGATTACAAAGTAACATTTAAAATCATTTCTATATGTTACAATTGTTTAATTTCTTTGTATTAATTATCTAACATTTTTCTCACTTGTTTACATTTCATCATTTTCTGAATTATATATTTGCTAAAATACAAAATAAATTTTCTTAACAAAGAAGTTACTTATATTACAAGAGATAAATTATATTTATCTCCAAATATGGGAAACTATTTATATGTTCTCCCCCTTTCACAAAAAGATCATTCAACTATATACTATATCACTCAATTATATAGGATGACTGGGTAATGTCTGTACGGATGGCACCGTCGGTGTAGCTGGTGTTGTCGGTACAGGTACTGGTGTTGAAGATATCGGTTGATGCGTTTGTCTCGGTGGGGAAAGAAGCTCTTGCCTATCCCTTTCCCGTTCTCGACCGGGTCGCCACGCTTCCAATAAAGCCTCGACTCGCTCTTCCGTGGGTCCCCATCGCGAGGCACCGGCCGGATTTTGTAACCATACAACTAGCGTGCCATGTACTGCTCGGATATTTACTTCACCTCTGGAATAAACGAATAACAAAATTATTCAAAATTTCTTTCATATGTGATATATCGCGTGGTACATGCAAAATATGTGGATTTATGTAAACGCACTTTGGAAGAACATGTTGAAATCCGTGTCTATATTCGTGTTCCATGGCAGGCACTACCACTTGTTTGCGCTTAAAGTGACTGCCCTCGAGTTTTATAAGCGCGTTAGGAGCCGGATCACGCCATTCTGGTAAAAATACTACAAATGACAAGGGCTCCGCCGAATCAGCCAAAAGCCGCTCAAAATGATTGACCATAGCTTCCATAAGTTCCTCACAATAGGGTGGATTCGCTTGAAACGATCCACTAACCGGTCTGAAGTCCAAGAACGGTCCCCTTGATCCAAAATATGAATCCGTGTCGGCGAACGCTGAACAATATTGACGAAAGTAACAATTTAGAGGAGAAGCAAAACATTCGAACGTGACGCCGAACGATCTCTGAAGGCATTCGAAAACCGTCACCGGAAGAGCCATCTGAGTCGCTTGACCTTCGTTGATTCCAAAGTATGTCTGATAGCGTTTTAGCATGCACCAAACGCGTGGCAGAAACATTTCGAACTTTTTGTCATCGAAACAGTTATACCTATACAAATGTTCCAGTTTGGTAAGGTGCATATTATTAATATACATGGTATCACCGTGGAAACGTAACATTGTTTGCTCACGCTCCGGAAGGTAATCCACCTGTGGAAGTCTCGGTGTGGGAAGGGAAAATTGCACAGGATAACACCAAACTTTTCTTTGCGTACTCGCAGGACCTCCTAACGGTATGACATCTCCTAAACCGTTGTCTTTGAGAATCTGGTTGTTTTTGTCCTTCACCTTTCTCGCATATTCTGTTGATAGATGATAAATTTTCAGGCATATGCCTTCAACACTGGCTTTAACAGTCGCCGTGAGGTGCGGTTGACATTGTCGCTTCAGATGGGCGAGTCTATCTTGGAAATCGTCGAATGTGGCACCCACCGTTCTTCTCAACCATTGAAAAGTATCCTCCGCGTTCCATTTGACGACCTTTCGACTCTCCGGCGATGCTGCCCTCGATTCCACCATCTTTTTCGCGGCTTCGGCATAGCGCGACAATTGTTTTCTCGCATCTCCCGTGAACTTTGGCCTTACTAATTTAATGGGAATATCGTTCATGATCTCGCGATACATGGACATCGAAATCTCAGGGAAGCATTGACTCGGTAGTAATGGATCTGAGCCGCAATCTATGACTTTTCGTTCCATTAACCACCTGTTGAAAGAATCTTTTGGCGCGTCTATCGATTCGCGAGTATGACATAATTCCTGATAACATTGCCGCAGCTTTGCCAGTAAAGCACAACGCAGAGCTTCTGCCTCAGGATGAACGTGTGTCAAATTTGACGGTGCTCGTTCATATATTATAACATTTGTAGGTATCTCCAAGTCCCACGGGCCTCTGTAACATAACAATAGACAAATTCAATTTATTCATTTACTTTGCTATAAGTAAACGCCTTAACATCTTATAAATTATGCACATACGCCAATACAAATTTCTTTGCAGGTGGAACAGCTCCATCTTCCGATGCTCTTCGTTTTAACGTACCACCTGGTGTAGCAGGTGGAATGGTCCCATTTCCAGGCGGAGGGACACCACAAATGCCGAGCGGATCCGTGATTGGATCAAACTGTAATAAGATACATATAGAGATAATGTTTCATTAGATAGATTACCTCTTTCATTATCTCTTTATTATAAAATATAAATATCTGTTTGATATTTTGTAATACCTGAGGTTTCAGAGAGGGTACTACCCACAATGATTCTCCAGTCAATTTATTCCAAAAATACGGTCGATTCTCCCGTTTACTCCAAAACTTTTTCCAACCTTGTTGTTGAAGTTCTAGAGATAACTCAAGTTCTGGAAAGCTTCCTGGTGGTGTACCCTGTAACCAAAAAACAGACATATCAGTCATAATTTGACTGATTAAAACTGTTAAAATCATATAAATTTTCTTTTGACATACCTGAGTTATAAGGGGTGGTTGTTGTATGTGACCAAGTTGCGGACAGTGATCAGCTACAGTTTGCGCAGGTGTCAATATCGGTGTTTGGAGCTTAACAGGTGTAGGAACTATAACTTGTGCTACTGTTGGACCTGTATCCTGCTGTAACGTCGGATGGTGATGATGCATAGCTGGCACTGACTGCCCTGACAAAGCTTCCCAATTTGAAGTATTGGGTACATCTTGTTTTCCTCCACTTACTTCGTTCATGTTTTGATATATACTTTATTGTAAAATACTGAAAATATTAATCTAAAGATATAGTCATGTAACTAGTACCTACTAAGATATATATTTATAATAAGTTATATAGATTATTAATATTAAATATATAATTTATGATTTTATTGTGACTGTGTGTATGTATATATGTAAATTTCATAAATGATTTGTGACAACGGGCAATAAACGGTCCTGTCTATGTCTATGTCTGGATCGGCGTGGAAATTTTCTAAATTTAATGTCTTCTCGTTCGGGTTGTATCTCCTGGTCAGTGCAATTAATAAAAGGGCTGTATATGTATGAATTTTCAGGTCAATAATGCAGTAATTTAATATAAAAAATATCGTATATACTTTTAATCAAATTAAATATAGCTAAAATTATATATAGCACCATACAGTTGCGTCGTTAAAGCAACTTTCTAATCTTATCAAATAAACAAAACGCATTTTTAATTATGCTTATCTCTCTTCGTTAATTAGAAGATATATAGAAGACAAAAAAGAAGAGATTTAAAAAGAAGAGTTGAGAAGAAATCACATTGAAGAGGCAGCGAGAGTAAAGAATCGAGGTTGACCATTGAAAGATGCTGTGGCACAAGAAACACAACATTTGCACTATACAACCCGTCCGAATCTGACGCGTATTTACGCACGCTTTGTAAAATAAAGAATGCAGGTGATTTCGCGATAACCGCCGAGATTTTTCGGAACGTTGCGGTTCGCAACTCGACAGTACTCCGTACGTGTAGCACAATGTTTGTTTACATACTGAGGAAACGACCGGAGAAATATGCGGTTCCTCACGCAGCGAGATCGGTCTCATGTACATAAAACATACTGCGGTCGAGAGTGGGCTTACCAGAACTGGCGATACCCTCAATTCATGCAAAATACGCGACGGCACTTAGAATTCATTCATGATTTGTGAAATTTGACGCAACGATATCCACCTCTACGACGCCATTTGCTTAAACTGGTGGAACGGCGGTATGCAGGCAGCGAGGGGGAGAGAACGTAGGGTATGTTTGCAACAGACAATACGAATGTGTCATCGCGCCTAAGGGTGCCGTTCCATGGAGCGTATTGCGTGTATCGCGGATCACGCGTATCGAAAATCTGACCAATTGCGGACGCGCTATTTTCGAACGCAGTCGTTTCGCCGAATCCGTTATTGTAAAGTTCGCGATTGGTCAAATTTTCGATACATGCGATCCACGATACGCGCGATACATTCCATGGAACTGCACCTTGAGAGAGACCATCCCGGCCTTTCTCGTGGGACTGTCAAAACCCCCTATACATTACCGTCAGTACGTTCATTTTCGATATTAGTACTACGTAACCACATTCATTTTCTGATACATTTACTGCCGATAAAATCGTATTTCCGAGAAATTATTAAAAATTATTATGAAAAAAAAATTATAAAAAAAATATTAAAAATTATTATTAAAAATTATTATTTATAATTCTTTTCCATATCGAAAGTGTGTGGACGTAGTACGGACATGGACTAAAATACAATTTTATTGGCAGTGTCGGAAATGGACGTGGCCACATAGTATCAATATCGAAAATGGACATACTGTACAGCGGGTTCCACGAAAAAGGCCGAGATGGCCTTTCTCAGGCTTCTCTCTGGCGGGGTGATACCCGTTTGACCACGTCCCGTTTGACCACGTCCCGATTGACCACTCACAGGGGTCGGCGCCTAGAATTTTTCCACTGTTGAAGCACTGTAAATGGCTAGTGATCAATCGGGACATGGTCAAACGGGTGTCACCTGTTTTTCCACTGTTCAAGCGCTGCGTCAAATGGATGTCCTCTCTGGCGTAGCGGAAAATGTATATCGCTTTTGATTGGTTACGCGGTTACGCAGTACGCGGCAAATACGCCTCATGGGACTCGGGAGGATCCTATTAACTCACAGTGCGATAGCACACATCCTCACTCATCAGCCGCTGCTTAAAAATTTTTCAATGGACCACCAATCAGAAAATTTTATATTTAATTGACCAATCAGCGTTATGTGCTATTGGATCCGTCTCATAAGATTCTACCGTTAGGCTGCTCTGCTGTTGGCATTGTCACGTCGCGGATCGCGGCTTTAGAATTTAAGAAAATTTCTTACCTTGATTTTCTTCAACTTCCTGCCGAGATCCTCCGTTCGGGTTGGCATAAGAAGACGGTTCTGTGGTTGGCCCGCGAGTGTGACTCCGTTGCAACGAAGCGTGGCGAAAGCAGTCTAAATCTTAGCGCGCGGAATTTACGAATATTTAGAGGAGGTACAGTCAAAGAATCAACAATCTATTACACTCTAATAATGTTTAATGTTCGAGATTTAATTGTTGTTACACTTAAGGGCTTAATGAAAACTAACTAGCACTAGTGACTTTCTATTAGTCTAAGTTATTTACTCGAGATTGAACTTAAGGGTCGGCCGGAGACAGCGTGGAGATCTCTCGCAGCCGACTGTGAATTATTCGCTAATACATTATTATAGCTAAAATACAGAGAGAATCATAAAAAATTGTGATATTCGTAATCAGTAGAATTATTAGTAAGTCGCGACAGAGTCACTTTTTGAAAAAAAGATCAAAATAAAATTTTAGTAACGTGCAAATCGTGTAGCGGATCAGGTGCAGTTAGCCTATTTTGTTTTTTATAAATTTTTGAGAGTGCAAAATACAAGATCTGAACTCTATTACGCCCTGCATAATTATATAAGGAATATCAAAAAAAGTTTCATGAGGCAATATAGCTTCTTCAAAGAGAAAAAATGTTTTAGCGGATATTACCAGATTTATAATATGGAGATATTTCAGTGGTAATATATTGGTAGCTTGACGGAAAGCTGTCAATTTTGATGATGCTTTGTCTCGCATACACTTTGTACGTACATATATAACATCCATGTAGTTACAAACCAATAAAAAAAGCTGCGTAACGACATACCTAGCTAGTGAAACTGTCGTTAAAAAGTTAGAGAATAGGCCTACAGGCCGTATTTTGGCAAAGCGATATGCTTTGGCTTTGATCGCTATCGATGCTTCGTGTATCATCGGCATAATAAAAGAATAAGGATGACATGTGAAAGACCGTGATTCCACATTCTTTTCTATCTTTTCTCTCCGCGGTGCGTCCGCGTGAACAATGCGATGATGTTTGTACATATACGGACATATATTATCCATCGAAACAGAGATTTTATTTCTCAACGTTGATATACCTGAAGTTAGAGTTTCGGAGTATCACCGTATGGATCTTTAATATCAATTCAGAGTTTGCCCGTTACTTCGGCCGACCTTTAAAGCTAGATAGAGACACTGACTTAGTTTATACTTAGCCGTCTAATATGGGTTCACTTCAAAATGAAGTAGATTTAGGGAGCGTTTACACCGGATTGATCTTACTCCGCTAAGAAAAGAGAATTAAAGTGGATCAAAATTAATCCGTTTACACTTAAGAAATATTATTTCATTCCGAAGTAAATCGGGATTGAACGGCTGGGTGTAAACTAAGTCAGGAAAAGAATTTGAACTATAAAGGGATCGAGTTTTAGGTCCGTTCGATTCGATGCTTTCTAAGACCAACTGGGAGGGATGTGTTCCCGCACGAAGAGGTGTCGGTGAGGACCCGAGGTGCCCTACCTTCGACGCCTGGTGACATTGTAGAGCGCTGCTTGACATAAGTAGGAATCGAAAGAAAAAATTTTTTCCGTACTGACTGTGGAAGTGACAGCATTAAAAATATATAATTTGTATCACATATGTTATATAGGGTGCTTTCCATTTAGAGATATAAGTCGACACAAATATCGTCCTATCTTTCTTGGCTTTCAATGATTAACAAGGACAAATGATACTTATGTCAACTTGTGTCATTAAATGGAAAGCACCCATATTTTAGAATCTAACCTGATTACACATATATATATATATATATATATATATATATATATACTATTAAAGCCAGCGGCATACAATACTTTTTTCTTTGCTGGTTTGCTAGGTTGGATTCGCATGCTTGCTGAGCTCTTATCTTCGATATTTATCTTTCGTATATTTTTTTTAGATCTAAAAGAATATACCCAGAGAATATTAGTGTCAGTCCTCAATAAGTATTTAATCTTTAAACCGTAAGAAATTGACCAATCATAATCGATTATTCTTTTTATATTCGATTATAATTGGTCAATTTCTTAAAGTTAAATCATCTATTGTGGATCGATATTTATGACGTCTAAAAGACGTCTTAAAATTATGAGACTTCTTATTAAATTAGAAAAAAAAGATGTCTTTAAGACGTCTTAGTGTCGGTCCACAATAGGTGATTTAAGTTTTAAGAAGTAAGAAATTGACCAATTATAATCGAATATGAAAAGAATACTCGACTATGATTAGTCAATTTCTTACGGCTTAAAGATTAAATACTTATTGTGGACCGACACTTAGATGCTTTTACCATGCGTGCTGTCTGGGTACCAAACAAGAGCTCAGAGAGTCAATCATGTAACTGAAAGATATCTATTAGATTCGGAAAAAATTAACGGAGACCGACTGGATTTGAACTCGGGATCCCTCGTCTACCAATCCGACACTAAGTCTGCACGACCACGACGGCTCCTCTCTGTTAGCTGTTTATATTCCGAATCTCTTTCATGACCGCTTACAGTCGTCTAATTCTTACAATATTATGAAATTATTTATTATTAATTATTTATTATTATTATTATTAATATTAATATTATTATTAATTTTTTAATTATTTATTATTTATTTTTTATTATTATTAATTATTTATATATATTATATTTAATATATATAATAAAATTATATTTTTTTAATATTACATATGCCAGCCATTTTCAGTTGGAGCTTGAAAACATACTGCAACTGCGTTTCATTTTATAATCTTAAAGCAGTTAGAAAGCGTACGAAACTAAATAAAACGATGGCCGCAGTACACTTCCATTATGTTATAGCATGAGTACTCGGAGTGAATAAAAGAACGCACCCTTATTATGTAGATGCTCACGTATATGTCAAAAAGGATGTGCAAACCAACTAGATTACTACTTGAACAGTGCTACTAATCCATAGAAACTAAAATTATTTTGTTTAGAGGATTTCATTGGTACCAACATTATTCCTTCCATTTTTCAGGAAATTTAACTCTGCACAAAATTGAATAGATATTTATCGCAATTGAATGAAGTAGAATAATCAGTAATCACCTTATAGTTATGAAAGTAAAGTATCTTGTGCGAAAAAAACTGAAGAAGTGATATAAAGTTAAAGATTAATAGAAGTTAATCAACGGGGAGAATGGTTTAATAACAAGCGAATGTATATATTAGAAAAGTTTCAATAACAAATTAAAGACGGTCAATTTATAAAAGGTGAAAGTACGGGCCATTTTAATAAAGGTAAAATTAAAGAATCTTTCTTGCAAAAATGTTTTTAGCTCAACGCTTAAAAAATAGGTTATGCATATTGAATTTTACATTTCTGTTTAGAAATAGTTTTGAAGAAAATAATTTTATAAAAATGGGAGATCCCTTATCGATGAACACAGGACAGACATATTGTTGGAATACCAAAGTGGCTGAACAAGATGTGAAATATTATTCAGGTCCTCAGATGTCAAATTTTCCCAACTATAATCAACCTCTCAATTACAACTCTTCCTATTCCTACAATATACCTCCTCCCAATGGATTACCTCCTAATTTATCACCTGCCAATGTACCATCTCCCAATATACCAAGTATTCGTTCTTTTAATGTATCAAATATTCCTCCACCCAATATTCCTCCACCAAATATTCCTCCACCAAATATTCCTCCTCCAAACTTATCAAATATCCCACCTGATGTAAATTCAACAGATTCAATGTATCATTTTGCACCTACTACCTACCATAATGAAGTAGCTAATTTTTGCAATAATATCCCTTACCAGAATCAAATAAATCCACAGTGTGGTGGTCAATATTATGATAGAATAAATTCTGGACATGAACAATCCATAAGTAAAAATTATACAAACTGGGATATGCCCGAAAATATATATAATAGCAATTCCGCTAATAAGTGGCATGCTAATAATTCATCTGCAAATTGGACAGTACATCAAAGTACATCTGCTTCATGGTATGGTACAAATGCGACAACATATGATAAAGACAAATCATGTTCAACACAAATGTATAAATTGTTGCAAAGAACAGAGGAATCTAAATGGAAATGCGATAACAGGGAAACTATGAACAAACATACAATTAATAGACAAAGATCCAGAAGTCCATATGGCAAATCAGAAAAAATATACAGATCACAGTATGATAATAGAAGGGATAGGTATCGTCGAAGCAACAGAGAAATATCTAATTCAAGGGACTCCGCATATGATAGCAGACATTTTGAAAAATCTTCATCTAAAAAACGGAGCTACACATCTCGTTCAGAAGAATCATATATAAGCAGGAAAAGATCGAGCTCGCGAGAATCTCATTTAACGAGAGACACATCACCAGCTAACAGCAAACGAACAAAAGGTCCTACTGAGAGGGAGATACTGCTAGAGAAATATAGGTAAGAACTTTGTATATACACACATTATGTGTATGTGTATATACTTTATATATATATGTATAAACATTGACTTATGCAAATAGAATTTGCTTTTCTGGTAAAAAAAAATCAATTGCCTCTATTGTTATCATAATATAGAATGAATTCTCTAATATAGAATGAATGTATAAGAGTTATATGTGTACAAAAAAATAAACATTCTAATAATTATGAATAATTTTTTACATTAGACGTAACTATTGTGCGACAAGTAAGGATATACAACGAAAACTAAATGAATTATCGGCAATGGGATCTAAAGGTATTCTTGAGAGTGAGAAAAAGATTTGGACGCGCTCATCACCAGCAGATCTTTACTATATCAGAGATGAAGATAATCCTAAAATAATGAAGGGTACTACTAAGCTACAAGAATTGTGCATGACATTTAAAAAATTGTTAATAGACAGGGCAGCTGCAGCTAGAGAATTACAGGTATATCTAATTCTAGAAATAATATAAGCACCTTAATAAAGTATCTTAAAGAAATAGCATGAAACTATATTTTATTATATCACTTAGCCACCATATGAACCACCTCCAAGGAAAACAAGAGCACGTCTCTGTCGTCATAAATCTGAAGCTTGTAGTAGTTCCTCATCTGACAGTGAAAATTCTATGGATGAGGATGATAGAACAATGGAAGAATTAATGGCAAAGAAACAGCATCCACAAAGACTGCATCCTGAAATGTGGTTTAACGATCCTGGAGAGGTAATAATGAAAAATATTTTATAAGTCTATTTTTTATACATTAGTTTTAAAATATGTTGTTACTTTTTTTTTGTAGATGAATGATGGTCCATTATGTAGATGCAGTGCAAAATCACGACGCTCAGGTATACGACACGGGATTTATGCCGGAGAAGGCGCAATAAACAAATGTGATTTAAATACGAATAATGCAGATAAATTGCATCACTACAGAATAACGATTAGCCCACCGACTAATTTTCTCACCAAAACACCGACGATTATTAAACACGACGAACACGAATTTATATTTGAAGGCTTCTCCATGCTCTCTCATTTTCCATTGGTCAAATTACCTACATGTAAAGTTATAAGATTTAATATTGAATACACAATTTTATACATAGAAGAGAAATTGCCAGAAAATTTTACAATACAAGAACTTGATTTCTTTCGTAAGTAATTCGCTCTATTTTATAAACAGAGCGAATCGCGTCATCCATTCTATAATATTTCTAACTACATTTCTAATTATATTTCAAATTTTTACAGAGATGTATTTGTTTAGAGAGATTTTGGAGCTCGTAGATTTTGACTTACACGCAGCGCAAGACAAATCCGGCTGCGGACAATTTCATTTTATGCCAAGATTTGTACGTGATTTGACTGACAATGGCCAAGAAATTCTATCAATGAACGAAGTCTTGAATTATTTAATAAAGAGCAGTACTCTCTTAATAAATCCAGATGATCTATCTAAATTGGTGGCAATGCCTCAATACAAATGGCAAGATTTTGCTGATGAAGTAAAGGGTATGGTCGTGACCTATCCTGGAAAAAAACCGTGCAGTGTTCGTGTTGATCAACTGGATAGAAATCAAGATGATCAATCTAGTGGGATATCGCATACTTATCCCGAGATAGTTCATTTTGGTATTCGTCCACCACAGCTTAGCTACGCAGGAAATGCAGAGTAAGACTAGCTTACATTTATCAACCAATAAAACATCAAATTAACTTACATTTATCAATCAATAAAACACTACATAGTTTAAAGCGTGATATATTCTATTATGTAAAAATTTCTCTTGAAATTTCTTCAAAGCTAATTTGATAAACATGATTTTTAAAACATACAAAGCTCCGTAATTATAAACCTGTATTAATTTTACGATTTTATTTAGTTATCAGAAAGCCTGGAGGGATTACGTAAAATTTCGACATCTACTCGCAAACATGTCGAAACCGTCCTTTGAAGATAAGAGGAAATTAGAAGCGAAGGAGAACAAACTGCAGGAGTTACGTACCCAGAGCAAAATGAAGCGCGATGTTACAGTCGATGTCAGTTCTGAAGGATTTTACAGAACCGGCATTATGTGCGATATCGTGCAACATGCGATGTTGATACCGGTGTTAGTCTGTCATTTAAGATTTCACAAATCTTTGGATAATCTAGAACGCACGTTGGGATATGAGTTTAAAAACAGATACTTGCTCCAATTGGCTCTCACGCATCCCAGCTACCGTGAGAATTTCGGCACAAATCCGGATCATGCGCGAAACTCCCTGACAAATTGCGGCATAAGACAGCCTGAATATGGTGACCGTAGAATTCATTATATGAACACGCGAAAGCGTGGTATCAATACTCTGATAAATATAATGTCCAGATTCGGCGCGAAAACGGAAACGGAATCATCGATAGCTCATAATGAACGACTAGAATTTCTTGGTGATGCAGTCGTCGAGTTCCTCACTTCTATCCATCTCTTTCACATGTTTCCGGATTTAGAAGAGGGTGGTCTGGCTACATACAGAGCGGCAATCGTACAAAATCAGCATCTTGCTGTATTGGCAAAGAAATTGAATCTGGAAGAATATATGCTCTATGCTCATGGTAGCGATCTTTGCCACGATTTGGAACTGAGGCATGCAATGGCAAATTGCTTCGAAGCATTGATGGGTTCGCTATTTCTTGACGGAGGGATAGAGGTGGCTGATCGGGTCTTTGGAGAGACACTTTTCAAAAATGAAGATGATCTTGCCAAAGTATGGGTCAATTACCCACGACACCCTCTTCAGGAACAGGAACCGACAGGAGATCGACAGTGGATTCCTAGCTTTGAATTATTACAGGTATCTCTTAGCATTTGATTGAACTTCTCTTAATTGTGAATTGTCTCTCTTATCTTTTCTTATGTTACTAGAAATTGACGAAATTTGAAGAGTCAATTGGAATAGAATTCACTCATATTCGTCTGCTTGCTAGAGCGTTCACAGACCGTAGTATAGGATATACCAATTTAACATTAGGATCTAATCAGCGGTTAGAATTCTTAGGAGACACTGTATTACAGCTGATCGTTTCTGAATATTTGTATAAATTTTTCCCTGAACATCATGAGGGACATTTATCGGTAAGCGATATTATTGATAATTCATTTCAATAATTATTCTTTTTTCACCAAATCTGATTATATTTACTATAGTTGTTACGAAGTTCACTCGTAAATAATAAAACACAAGCAGTTGTCTGCGATGATCTCGGTATGACTCAGTATGCGCTTTATGGGAACCCAAAAGCCGAATTGAAGACGAAGGATAGAGCCGATTTATTAGAAGCTTTCCTCGGCGCGCTTTATGTCGACAAAGGTTTAAAGTATTGTCATGTTTTTTGTAATGTTTGCTTCTTCCCACGTTTACAAGATTTTATTATGAATCAAGATTGGAATGATCCAAAGAGCAAACTACAACAGTGTTGCTTAACTTTAAGAACTATGGATGGTGGTGAGCCAGATATTCCTGTATATAAGTAAGTTTTCAACTTTTTAGCTGCAAAACAGTCTCTTTAGAATTACAAATATATATATGTTATAAATACATATAAATACAAATATATCAATCTTTGATAGAAATATATACATAATATATCATAAAAATTAAATGTATACAAAAGAATATTTTCATGATTTTATATATGACTGACTTCATTTTTTAGAGTCATTGAGTGTAAAGGACCGACTAATACAAGAGTTTATACAGTTGCTGTATATTTTCAAGGAAAACGACTAGCTACAGCTTCAGGACATAGTATCCAAGAAGCAGAAATGAACTCTGCCAAAGAAGCTTTAGAAAAATCACAAGGTAAATACATATAAAAATAATAAAACAATTATTATTCAAAATGATTTAAAATTAGATTAGTAATTGTTACAGATATATTGCAAATGTGGAATTAATTTTTGTTATTGAAAATTTGTTTCACGATTCTTTTTCACATAACTTATCATTTCAAATATCTTAAATGTTTTAATGTTTTAATTTTAGTTATATAATATGAATTTTGAATTAAAATTCTGTTACATTTGATAAGAATTTGATAGAAATACATTTAATAAGAATTTGACAATAAATAAATTAAAATGTAGAATAATCTTCTAAATTAATAAGATATCTTTAAATTTTCAATACCAAAAATTAGATTGCACATTTGTATGTATACAAAATATATGTTGTAGTTTCAATTTTAAATTTAAGTTTAATTTATAATCCATCTATATTTTTGTCAATTTATTTTTGTTTATCAACATATATTTATTTAACTTTATTCTTGTAGATTTATTTCCGCAACTAGATCATCAAAAACGTGTAATAGCCAAAAGTATGAAAATGCAGCAATGGCCAAGTAAACAGAAACCAAGGGGAAAGTCTGAAAAAAGGCCTCACGACAGATCTGATGATTCTGACTGTAGCCAAAACTGGAGAAGAAGTCGAAGCAGAGAGCGCAATACTTCAAAAAAAAAAGAAACTTAACCATTTCTTACTATTTTATTATGTTCATGTATGTTTTATTTTCATGTATGTATGTTAATATATAGATATAAATATATAATATGTAATTAATATATGGATTTTTCATTTTAAAAAAAAATTAAAAAAAATAGATTTTATGTATGTGTGTGTGTGTGTGTGTGTGTGTATGTACAAAATTATATTTTCGCACATATATTTCTTAATGTTTGTGTATTTCTTAATCCATAACAAATGATCTTTATCAATCATATTTAAATTTTTTTTCAAATATTATGGAGCAATAAATAAACATGTTAAAAATAATGATATATTCGCTTGATGTAAGTGGAAATAAAGATATATCCATTATTAATGTTCCTTGTGACGACTTGTATATTTTTATTTTATTTTATTTTATTACATTTACTTTTATTACATGTATATTAAAAATATACAGATTCTCTCATGGAATAAAAAATACAATTTTACATATTGCTTTAGCAGTCTTCATTTTGTTAACAATTTATATGACCTAATTTTATTATATACATTTAGTTTAAAGGAGATTTCATCTTATCTTTCTCTGTTAATATCGGATTTTCTTGTTCTAATAAATAACTATTTTCCTTAATTATAGCACTACATTGCTCAATATTATTACAGAAATTTTGCAACGCCCAATGTTTTTTCAACAGGGCATGATTCAGATTGAATAATGCGTATCGAAAACACTGTATTTGAGTACATGTAGCAACACTGTGAAGTTGCATTCCCAAGTCGTGTACTAAAGTTTTCAGATACATATCGTTCTCGTTTATACATACAATTTCTAAAAACATGTAAAAAGAATATTATCTCATGATATGATTTATATCTAATAGATATTGTAGCATTTACCTAATGTGAATTCGGGTGATGTAAAGTCTATACATTTTATATTGTATATCATCGGAATATTATTATCGGAAGGCCTTATTAAACCTTGTACAGCTAATTCATATGCAGTTTGACTCTGTATATCTATTCCGCATAATCTAAAAAGAAATCAACAAATTGTAAAATTTGATTAATTAATAATATATACATTTTTATTTATATTTATTGTAGAACATACTCAAACATCTTTTTTTGATGAGCAGCTTGCATAGAAGCACATATTTTGTCAATTATATTGCGCTTAATAAATTTATATGTAGATTTCTCGACGATTCTTCCTGTTATGAAATACGTGTCTGTTGCTTGTCCTAAGAGACCTTTAACTCTGTAACTAGTTGGAGATTTAGAATTTTTCAATTTGTGAGCCCACATAGTACCATCATTAATACCACAGACCATGAGACCGGACATGTCTTTGGACAGATAATTAGCACACATCAATTTGAAATCTTTAGGCTGATATCGTGGTCCCACGACCAGTGGGTGATCTGCATAACTTGGATGTATCTGTACTGTTAATTTCTTACTGGTATCACCCTTTATGGTTACATGTTTGATCGGTTGACGTACGCGCATACTATTCAAGTCTGAAAATTAGAAATTGTCTTTAAAAAAATTTTCTCAAAAAATTAATATTCTTTAAAATTTCAAGTTAAATTGTTCTAAAATCTGTATTATTTATGATATAAACTATATAAATTTACAGTATTGGCAATGAATTTTGGAATTAAATATATTTTTCTTCCACTTTCAAGGGCGAACAAAGGTTCGGAAAAATAAAGGAATAAGAAGAAATTTATTAAATGAAAAAAATAAAGAGAATAAATTTTTAGTTTATTATGAGGATAGCCTAACCTTCGCAGAGACGATAGATTATGGTGTCTCGCGCATTGAGATAAGTAACCATTGGTGGTTTGTATACAGCAAATACTCCATTCAACGCTTTCCATGCTATTTTAGAGTCAAAAACAAGCCGTTCCACTGTTGGAGTCAAAGTATTCATCTTTTGTCAGTTACAAAATATCATGAAGTATCACCACGTTATTGAGGTTATGTTACACAGTTATTGTATTGTTTTCCATCTTAAATTTTAGAAAAACTATCTGAGGAGAGGATCAATCTTATAATAGACTCTCAATAAAAGGAGGATCAAATTGTCTACTTATACTTGTCTACGCCAATGTCTCGTATCTTCTTTGCTCAAATAATATGAACTAATAACAAGATTGTGATTCTTTGTATAATTTTGATATTGAAAATGTAAAAATGGAGCATCATCAAGGAGCAATTAAGAAAAAATCCAAAACAGTTTATATGAAACGATTCCAATATCAATGGCTGGATGATAATCCTTCATGGAGAACTTGGGTACAAGATGTTCCTGGCAATCCTTACAAATTTTTCTGTAAGGCTTGTGAAACTACATTAACCTGTGGTGTTTCTGAAATAAGAAAACATGCCCAGAGAGAAAATCATGTAAAAAGCATGGAAAAACTCTTGAAAACATTAAACATTAAATCAGAAAAAGTGTCTTTAGATGAAAAATCTATTAACATTGATAATCCAGAATTGACAAACAAAATATCTGTTATTGTTGCAAATAAGGCAAAGGAATCTGGAACAACTGAATTTCCATCAGACATAAGTGTGAATTTAACTTTCAAAGAACGAGTTCGACTTGCAGAGATAAAATTAGCAACCTTTATTGTTAAAAACAAATTGCCATATTCAATTTCATCTCAATTACTTTCGCTCATAAGAGATGTTGCAAAAGAACCCAGTGTTCTGCAAGCAATAACTTTGGGAAGAACGAAATTAAAGTATGTTGTCGATAGAGTTACTCAGCCCAAAGATACAGATTCAATTTTCAAGATTTAGAGAAAATATAAATTTTTCAATATATAAAAATAATTGATATAACGAATGATAAATGGCTTTTATCTTATTAATTATGTAAAGTCAAATATGGATTATTCCAAATGATTTACTTTATCATTTATATATGTAATCTTAATATGATATATGTGATACAATCATATTATATACATACAATCATATTATGTAATTATATTTGAATACATTTAGTAGATTCATCAGTGAACTGATTAATGGATTCATTAGTGGATTAGGCCTACAGGGGAAACCACTTAAAAAAAAAACGCATCAACAATAGTACCTCATGGGTGATGTGGAAACCTATTGTTCTGTAATTATAATTATATATGTACATTGTACATACGCTCACTGAATTAGCTTCAAATTTGTATCAACAGATATTAAGAAAAGAGTACAAAATAATATCCTTAACAATAAGCCATTATTATTTAACTTTACGATAATGTGTGGATTTAAAGATTTCTTTTATTGTAAATCTTGGAATAATTAGAGGAATAGTGAGGTTTAATATTCCGACTCAAGAAACTTCTATGATGATAAAAAGTTGTTACTATTACAAGTTTTAAAAATTACATAAATTTTTTAAGATTTTTCTATTGTCCCAATTTTCTTGTGTCCCAAGATTATATAAAAATCTCAAAAAATTATTATATATTTTTATAATCTTTATTATCAAGTTTTTACTATCATAGAGAAGTTTTCTTAGATCAGAATTCCGAACTTCACTATCTAGTTATTCTAATGGTGCGTTCGGGAAGCGTGCTATTTGCACAGTTATTGTCTAAACCTGTTCGGGGAGATGAAATTTTTGATGCTATGAAATTGGCGATGACATCATGGTCAAAGTAATGTGACGTCATTATTAGCGCTATTTCGCGTTATCTTCTTCGAGGTAGGACAGCAAATGCTAACAACGCTGATTGGCGCATATTTAAATTTGAATAAATATTATCAAAAATTAATATAAATATCTTAGATAAAAAATGTATAAATATTATATAATAATATTTTTTTTAAATATCATATTTTTTAAATATCATATTAGATAAGAAATAGCTAATGTCTTGTTATAAACAAGCGGTGCAAAATTTTCTTTGTACCAATGATATACAAAACTTTGAAGAAAAATCAAAACCAGATAATTCATTATAACCTAAAATGTAATTTAAATTCTGCATCTTTCCATCTAGGCATCACCCCTTCCACATAATTTTCCAATCTTAGAATTTTTCTTCAATGTACTTTTAAATTATCAAGAACATCCAAATCTTCGTCGCTAGATGATGAAGACAATTCTATTAATTCTTCCATGACAAGCTTTAATATTATTATTTTTTTTGGTTATTTATGTTTGTAGCAATATTGGAACGATAATTTTCTTGAAGTATCGTTTAGGGAGCTCGAAAGCGTAAGCTCCTTATAGTTTCCTCGAACGAGTCTGTCAGCGTTAGTGTCTTTTGCGCGATAGCGCGCTTTCCGAACGCACCCTAAGACAAACACTAAAAGAATCAATCTTCAAATTATAGTAGTTCTCGAAATTTTAAGTTACGAAATCAGTAATAAATAAATATTTATATTACTCTGATTTTACATTCAATATATTTAAGTTATTAATATAAAAATTGCTGTTAAAAAATCATCTTGTGAAATATATTCTATTTACTTAATACATATCTGCATGCACTTTGCTTTTCATTTTGCAATTTTCAGTGAATTATTTAATTTATTGTAAAATACTTTGTAATGCAACATAATTTATTTATTTTATATAAATTGCAATCTTGTCGCATTTCAAAATGTCCATTGGATGAATTTATTATTTAATATACTAAGGGTGCGCTCCTTTATTCCTTTATTCACTCCGAGTACTGTCAGTACAACGAATAGCGTTCCGATATAGAGAATAGTGCACTCCGAAAATACTGTCTTGAATTCTATGACGTCTTAATTTTGACATACTTCCTGTTGCGACTACTGCAACCAGTGAAATAAAGCAGTTAGAGCACAAAGATAACTGCTTTCATGGAGACTGAAATAATCTTGATTGATGCTGAAGAAAATAAAGCGTATAATATGAAATAATATAATATAATGAAATTATCATGATATTATATAATATTATAAAATTATTTATTATTATTTTTTATTGTTATTATTGATATTAATATTATTATTTTATTATTATTATTGATATTAATATTAATATTATTTTATTATTATTATTGAGATTAATATTATTTATTTTTTATTATTATTGATTATTTATATATATTATATTTAATATATAATAAATTATATTTTAATATTACATATGTAAGCATTTCAGTTGGAGCTTGAACACATACTGCAACTGCGTT